AATATTCAGGTGCGCTTTGTAGTCCGGGAAATACGGTAATCTGATTCTTGAAGATTCAAAGTGAGGTTTTTGCAAACATGTGTAGTTCGTTATGGCTGCTAAAAGAAAAGACATGTTTAGATTTTGTGTGGGTGAGGTGAACGCTAAAAAATATAGGAAAATATGAGAAATTTAAATGGATTATCCCGGATAAAGAAGACATAAGATCAGATGGACACCACAGCACCAAAACATGTACCACAGGAAAGAAAACTGTTTTTTTTCTCCACAAAAAACCAAAAGAGTGCACAAACACACCTCTGCACAAACATCTGTTTCTGGTGTGTAATTAGGATTATCTTTGGGGTCTTTAGCTTGTTTTGTTTTGGTCTTCTTTGAAATCAGTGAAGGCAGCTGCCCTGCTGTGCAGACCTCCCACTGATCAAGGAAAACCTGCCACAGAAATCCCTGTTCTGCCTCCAAACCCTCTGGCAGCATGAAATTCAATTACAGCCAATTTCTCACCTTTCACAACTGCATCAACAGGAGCCCCTGAGAAAGAAAACATCAAGTGGCGCACATTTTCACATTCAGATTCACACAATCAGGCGCACGTATGACAAAGCTGCAAAGATCTCAAGATACGCTCATGCCTGTCACTGATTTTTCACACAAGCCCATACACACCTGTGTCTGTGCGACGGGCGTGGTGCCTTTGTTCTCCTGCGAGAGGAAGAAGCGGATGGACATGAACAACTCGTGAATGCAGACTCTGAACTCTTCCTCATTCTGGCCTCCTGTAGCGAGCGAAAAGAGCCGACGGGACTGGATGATGTACTTAAAAATGTACTCGCTGGCCTGAGAGGAAAGAGGAAAACAGGAAAAAAGAATTTGTCCTCTGCCGCCTGATGGAAAAAAGCACAAAAGTTCCTTCCAGGGAAAGTTGTCAGATAATAGAGAATTCGTACATTTTGTCCTGATAAATTATATCCAATCTCTTATTATTTTATTTATCTCAAAGTCAAAAGTACCAGACTATTCAAATAAAATTGCCAGCAATTCTGATAATGGATTCATCATTTTGAGTTTTTGAGTCAAGCATGAAGAAATTAATTAAAACAAAACAAATAAGTCACTCTGGCATTGTGATCTCAAGGGCCACTTGAGGCTGTCCAGTACTCACAGATGTTAATGTGAGGGTGCCCAATTTAAAAACAGTAGTAGACAGATTTACAGTCAAGGTGGAGATTTATGCTTCAGTGGGAGATGTACACCATAACCACAAACCCCTCTGAAACCAAATGCCATAACATACGGTGCAAGCTAACGTGCACCTCCTTAGATATAACCGATGCAATAAAGTAATGTGGCTAACTGCGCATCGCATCGAACTATCGCCTACTTATTAAAAGCAATAATAATGATAGCATCAATATAGGGCTCACATATGTCAACAAATTCATGGAGGGAGATCACTAAAGCTACTTTGGATGCCAATTTGTTCTTTAATGGCACGTAGGAGCAAATTTTCACACACCTCAGCAGTTTAAATTGTATCTTTTGTATTGTATCCAACTGTAACTGTAAGAGCTTAAAGCTCTGGATAATTAATAGAGCGGCTGCTTTGAATAACAAGTTGGTGCCTTTAGCCATCTGCTCGGAGATCTCCTCAATTAATGTAAGTCACTGAACTGGATCTCTCCGACTGTATGTCTCGTGGAAGAGGTTTAATGCAATTACCTGACAAATAACATGGCTGCTTATTTAATTGTACCAACATACTGTCAAAGACGCCCATGCTCCAGTTTCTAAAGTGAGTGAAAGTTCTATTTTATTTATAAGTTGACTTACATGGCAGCAGGTATCTGTGTCTCTCTGACAGCATAAATCATGCTAGCAGTTACATGATTTATTTTTCCAAATTAGGTCATTTGTGGGTACGAAACAAAAAACAACAACACTGAGTAAAACGCCCATCTTGAAGCTTCAAAACCAATAGCTGACATTGATGTGACTACCAACGTCTTTAATATACAGTCTATGGCAAAGTCTTGAAATACATGAATTTAAATAAATAAAACAATTTTATTCATGATAACCTTTAATTTTATTTTTATTGAGCTCATTTATAATATAGCAGTTTTTTGACAGTGATCCGCTTTGCTTTTTATTAAAAAGGAATGTGCCTAAAGATAAGCACCTCGACATGTTAGATACGCAATTAAACCCGTCTAAAGAGATTCTCTTATCTGCTTCCACGTGGAAAAGCCTGCAAGCACATCTGCACTATACCGCTTATTCATTATTTACTGCACTACAGATTACCATTTCACTTCTGGTGCAGAATCTATTCTGTGAATGTTAAACGAGGAGCCACAGTTTGGCTGCCGCAATGTGCTCCACTGACAGTGTGTCTGCATGAGTCATTAGAAAAATGTGATGAGGATTCCCAACACTAGAGGCACCGTGCTTCTGCTCATTAAAATTGCATGCAGTGTAATAGACACAGGTGGGGGATAACGAACGGTAGAAGAACGTATGAATTAGCAGGAGTGGCAGTGGATGGTGTCATTGTGTGCACGGGTGTATTTGTGTATCGATAAAGGCAGCTGCATTTACAGTTTGAAATACTGGCCTGGCTGTCTTTGTGCGTGCCTCACCTTGAGCACCTGCTGTATGTGATCCTGATGCTCTGCATCAACAATGCGGTCCACGTACCACTTCAGCACTTTGATCAGGTCCCTGGAGGAGACACACACACACACACAGTACAACTAGTTACCACTAGCTGCATGCTTCTCTCACTGGATTTGGCAAATATAGATGAGACAGTGTCATGTTTTAAAATGTAACGCTCTATCATCCATTATTTAAATGAACTCTGGTCACATTAATTCATCAATACAATACTACAGCTGTGTGTAATAATCATGAAGCTGCGGGCTGACAAGAGTAATAAAAGCTCCTTGCCACACACCCACTTGTAATCTGTTTCAGTTTTTTTACTGCTGCTTTAAATGGTCGAACTTAATTAAACTCTTCAACTCAAGAGATCATCTTCATCCAGCGGTGCGCTTCTGACACATATGGCAATGAGTACTTATGAGAGTACTCTTTAAGTATCTTGGTTTCCTGTTTAGAGCTTCTAGAAATGTGGCAGTGGTGTGTGCGCTTACGAAAGAAAGTTTAACAAAAATATCAGAAGACAGAAATGGGTACAGACTGAAAGAAACAACTGGTGAGGTGACAACAGCAGGTGTGTGATGGAGGAGAAATGAAATCCAGGGAGGCAAAAGTGAGCACAATTTTCTAATTCACCTTTCATCCACCAGGGGGCACCATAAGCATTTCATTCAATCTTCTATCAAAGCACAGGACTGAGCAAAGCTGCCTCTCAGCATTGACGTAGGTTGGACTCTCTTGTCCTGCCTACCTCTTGTGATATCTTATTAGAATACAATGTGTGGTTCTGTGATGTAGCCTTGAAAATCTGCAGCATTTGTTACAAGTGAATGCTGGAGCATCACATACCTGTAGGACAAAGCTCCAGCAAAGTGGCTTTCGATGTAGGTGTCCATGACAGGTTTAAAGTGCTGGAATTTGCTGTCCTGGAGAAGGTTGATGATATGAACCTAGAGTAAACAGAGAAGACAACTTAAAAAAAAAATCATGTTGGCATATCGCTTAAAAAACCCTAAAGAATTCTGTGTATTTTAATAAAGTTTTATCTAAGATGCATGAATTTAAAATTGCGCTTTTCTATGAGGCTACGAGATCAAAAAGAAACTAAAGGTAATTACATGCTGCACACAAATCTCTAGAAATATTTTTAAAAACCCATCACTTCATGTCTGCAGCTTGTTGTATAATCTGAGCTTGTCCAGCCACAGAGCACGAGTCCATTCGTCCAACCTGTTTGATTGATCTCGAGCAACATAAAGAAAACCTGATGGCTACAGCGGCCCACTAGACCTTTGCATCGCTGATAAGGCCACAGTGAGAGGAGAAAGTGTGCTTGTGTGTCAGTGTGAAACTGATTTGGAGAGAGAGAGAGACATGAGGAGACAGAGACAGAATGAAAGAGAGAAAGAGATCGATCTCCGGGCTCACACTATCAGCTCAGTGCAGCATGACCAGGTTGAGATTGCTTCAGCGAGCTCTGAAGCGTTACATCACTAGATCTTTCTCTTGGAGTTTGTGTATCTGCTCTTACTGTTGACTCAAACACTATCAGATGGCTCCTGATGTGAAGAAAAACTGAGAATGCGCACACACACACAAAAAAATCTGCGACACGACTGGGCCATTTGGACAACTGACTCACCAGTGAATCAAACACCTTAAGTCCATATCTCTGGGAGCTTTCATCCAAAATCCCGAAGAGGGTGTCCAAGGTGTCCTGGAGAAACTGTTAGAGAAAAACAAAACAGGCTTTCATTTTCTCAACCTGAACTTTAAATACATTTTGATTGAAACAAAACAGTGACACTTCATTCTGAACAGTGAGCTTTACTGTACAATATAAAGCGCCTTGAGGCGACTGTTGTTGTGACTTGGCGCTATATAAATAAAACTGAATTGAATTGAACAAGGCAAGAAAAAGCAGGGCCAAATCATGGACGAGAGTCTGTCTGCTGGCCTACTTTGACAATCTCCGAGCCATCGATCTCCTTCAGCTTTGATAAGCTGTCGTTGATCCTCTCAGGGTGGGCTCGCCACTTCAACAGGTCCAGCATATCACCTGAAGGAAGACAACAAGGAGGGGTAAGATGCAAAAAGACACATGACTTACAAACAGTGACAAGATCAAGATGCTTCCCTTGGTTGCTTGGAAAAAAACAAAACAATAAACAACAACACAGGATTATGAGGATTATGAGAGCTGCGTGCACCTCACATCACAGGGCATCATCAGGCCCTTCAATTATAGCCCCAAAGCCCCCAACGTATCCAAACAAATGATGACATTTTCAAGTGCAGCAGGATGAGGGAGATAAAAAGTCATTTTCCTGTGCAGGATTCCCCAGACACACGCATGAATAAAACATAAGCTTCAAGAAGAAAGTCTTTTAGCTGTCTCTGTTGAACCTGAAATGTCTTTTTGCAATTTTATACTCAATATTCTGTTTGTGTTGTTACATTACTAATTTTGGTTGTCTTAAAATGCATCTCAAAGGATAAATAAACAAAGAGTGTTGCAAGTGAATTATGCTTGTAATTTTAAAGTTTCTATTCAAACATTGACTTAGCCTTCTAGCCATGCTGAAATCCCAAACCCAAAAGCATAAGGACTTATTAGTTCATTAGTGAGTTTTGCAGATCGGAAGCCGTTCCTACCACCTTGCATATTCACTGGTTTGTTCGCGCACTAGGGAGGGGAACATCAGTTCAACACTTGCACAGAACCCATCTCTTTGACTTCCCTTAACATATGGCATTTCTACATTTTCTTCAGCCTCTTTTGAAGCCCTGATTGCATTCTTTGTAACACTCGCTGATCTATAGAAGCACACAGAACCAGCTAGTGAAGTGCTGCACAACTAAACTCCCAATTAAAATCTGTAAAAGTGTGGCGGCCAAAAACAGTTCAGCAGGCAAGCGACCCAAATGTCGAAGCCTGAGTCTTGTTTACCGTTCTGCGTGAGCTTGGTGGAGCAGAGGAAGCTGGTGATCCAGAAAGATTCCTTGGTGCCTTTCAGCGTCTGATTGTTAGACGGCAGGTTGGGCTTGGAGAACGGCTGCTTCAGGTAGCGTGAACAGTCAGCCAAGCTGGTGTTCTCCTCGCACTGCAAGGAAACAAAGCAAAAAAATAAATAAAGCTCAACTTTTTTGAGCTGCCACTGACATATGTTTTGGACAAGAGCAGAAGAATGCAAATGCCAGTTTGAACCCTCAGTGTGTCCGATTAAAAACAGAGAACGAGGGGAGATACAAGAAAAGGTGGATGATTTTTCTAATTACTTTTCAAAAAGGTAATATGTGGGCATACCACATCAAAGATCTTGTGTGGAATCTACATTAGTCATATTTAGCCTGAAAGGATGATTAAGGAGGATTCACACAGGCATCTTTTCAGGCTTTAATACTCCTTCTTTGCATTCATTTTGAATTAAGTAATGACCTGTATTGCCCAATAACTGACCAGCAGATCCATCGCTTTGCTTTACTTGCAATAGTAAATAGTTTACATTTTTGTCTATTCAAAAGCTTCAGTGCTCGTTTCTGCTAGCTAGCCTAATCATGTCTGTAAATATTTTGTGAGAGGTAGGTGGTTGCTCTGTAACTTGTCATCCAACTTCAAAATAAAGGAGAAGTTGATCCTCATGGTGGCTAATCATCCCGTCATATATTGAAGTTAGAAATAGGCTTGTTTCTGAACAAAGTGTTCTTAGCTTTCCTTGTAAATCTCTGAACCATCAGAAACCCCCAACTGTTGAAGCAATATGTGTGACTTCACCAACTGCCTCTGCAAGCTCCTTTGCAACCAACCTCTGAATCAGACCCTTCTTTTCATGTTGTGTCTAATTCCACTGTTATATCTGTTGTCATTAAGGCCTGGTCTGCTTGATACCAAGAATCTTGTTGCTGCTCTCCTTCCTCACCCTCTTATGTGGGGAAATTGCTTAAACAGAGGCATAGATAAATTACTGTTTATGAAGGTAAAAAAAAAAAAAAAACAGTCTTCTTTTTACTGAAGAGGTCTTGACTGAAATTAGGCTATGTTCACACTGCAGGCGAAAGCGCATCAAATCCAATTTTTTTGACCCTATGCGATCCATATCCGATCATGGTATGACAGTGTGAACGGCACAAATCCGATATTTTCAAATCCAAACTGGGTCACTTTCTATGTGGTACTGAATCCGATACATATCCAATGTTTTAGAAAGCGACTGATGTTTGAACGGTCATGTCGCAATAAATCCGTCTTTTACGTCACTGACACGAGACAAACGCTAATTATCAGCGCCGGAGAAGCGCCTGCGAAGACATCGTGAACGCTTCCTGGCCATCCAGTGTAGATGTCAGTGAAACTGTTGGCAAGACAACGTGAACATTTTATTTGTACTGTATAATCTGCAGATTCTGACAGAAATCTGCAACTATCCTTTGAAGCACCGCTCCTCTAAAACAGCAATAAGGATAATTATTAGGTTATTTACATTATTATGTAAATAACAAAATAACTTAAAGCAAAAATTGGGAAACGTAAAGTCTGAAGTCTTTATATTAAGGGCCATCAGTCAAACAATATTGTTTGCTCTGGGTCTAAACAGAGCGCGTTGCGCGTGACGTCTTCTTTTGCGCATGCGGGCTGCTTTGAGGGTTCACACTAGAGCGCGTTTGCTGTCACATTTTATTTGTAGTGTGAACAAGCAGACAAAAAAAATCGGACTTGATCAAAATATCGGAATTGAGCATTAAGACCTGCAGTGTGAACGTAGCCTTAGATTGTCTTGTGTTATGGATTTAACACGCAGTCCTACATCTGAAGCTGTTTGAGCTCCAAAGCTACCAAAGAGTTTGGACTGCTCCTGTGTGTCTATTTTAGGCCCGAGGAGAAACTAGGCCATGCAGTTTCATTGAGCTTTTCAGCAACTTTCATCTGGCATTACAATGGGCCTTTACCCCCCCTCTATGGTGGAGACACACAGGAAAAAGAAAGCAGTCCACTAAAACCAGCAGGCTCAAAATCTGGGCTTTGGTAAGAGTAAATCTTGCAACCTGACATGAAAAAGTACAAAGAAAATAGCATTTTTCTTTGTGTTTATATACTGTTGAACTAAACCATAGATAATCATAGAATAAATACATCATATTTTTGGACCCCTTACTGCCAATAAAATGCATGAATGCACTCATGTTTCTTTTCCTTCCACAGAACTGGACACACCCTTTGCCTGCAGCTGAGGAAAAGCATCTAGTCTGCAATTATTCCGAATTACACCCAAGACAGCATTGCAGCAGCTTTTAACTGTGGATACTGGTCATTTTACTTGTTTCAGACCATTGATACGACAAAGCTGTGAGTCGCTTAAAACGTAGGGAGAAAAGGTGATTCTAAATAAAGAGATGCAGACTAACAAACAGAAATACAGCAACACTTAAGCCTGGATAAATTCAACCTCACAGCTTGGCAATGTTATGTAAGCGGACTCACTGGCGTGCAACCCTGTAATTGAGTGATGCAAGCTGTTTGGTGGCCGGTGGCTCTTAACTGTATCATAAAAGACTCTCACAATTTGCCATTTAGAGACAATGATTCACGTAATCATATACAGGGCACAATCCCATCCAAATTATCCTTGACAGCACCTGTGAGATGCAAAACATTCAACAGGTTCAGTTAAGATCACGGCTAAGCTACAATCTACTGATGGACATGAGATGTTATCTTTTTTTAAAGCTATCACAATCTTAGATGAACCTACACAACACTGTGAAGGTTTCTGCAGTAAAAACTATATACACTATATATAAGCCAAAAATGAATATCCTGCCAAGAAGAGGTTAAAATTGATTTGGTACTCCCCCCCAGTCAAAGCCTACAGTAGATGGTGAGGGTATGCAGGTCTTACCTTATGGATAATGAGCTCATGGGTGCCATCTGGCAGAGTCCTTCCGTCCTCTTGCATCAGAGGAACAAAGGAGTAGCCAAACAGTTTCTTCTCTCCCTTGTCTTTAGCTGTCAAACAACAACACATGGACATGATATTGAGTCCAAAAATAGAACAGCCCAGACTGCGTCAAAACAAAAATGCTTTCTTTTTTAGACTTAACAGCAGCAAATTAATATGCTGAATTATTTGTATGTTTCCAGGGAGAAGAAAAGTATTTATTCAAAGGCTCTGTGAGTAACCTTTGACTGCTGAAGGTGCCAATCAGTGGGTATACAAGTGCAAAGATGTGCAAACGAAGTGCGTGCTCCTGCTCATTTTAGCAAAATCAAACATCAAGAGCATTGGTTGATATAGGGTAAACAACAGAGGTTTAAATATATAAAACCTGTAAGGCAATTAATTTTAATTTTGAAACATGATGTAATTTTTTTTTTTATTAACAGGAAAATCTAAAGGACACCTCTAATCTTTCCATCTGTACTCGGAAATTCACTACCCCTTTAATCACACTCGCATAACAGTAGGATGTGAGGTAACTAAGCAAAAAGTTGTTGTTGTTTTTGGGGGTTTTTTAAGTTGATTTACTCTTTTGAGGATTTGATTAATGTGGGAAGCTTTATCTGAAAGTTCTGGGCATAATTTGCAGTATGAACACATGTAATCTGATTTATCTGCTGCTTTAGCAGTGAAATGTTAATGCGTGCACAGCGGGAAGCAAAAGCAGAGCATGGAAAGTTTCTATTTCCTTTTATTGCAACACCAGTGATTTATTTAACAGTGTCTACTAGTCTTTTGTGAGTTTGTATGTTTGTGTGTGTTGTCTTTCCCAAGAGAAATATGTTTTTAATGCATCAAACTAGAAACTGTTGTCTCATTTCTCTGTGGCTTGTTATTCAGAATTTCTACTCACAAAGACCACTAATTACCATTGCAATCAAAATAACATTTTTAGTTCTATCTGCAGTTTGGATCATGGATAAGGGGAGTACAACAACAAAATTTAACAGATAGGCCATCAGTCCAGTCATATATGCCATGACAATGAGAAGTTAAAGTGGAGACGGGTTGTAAAGTGGCTTGCAGCTGTGCAGCAGTAATGGAGGCAGGCTAAACCACTGCCCAGGTACCCTATGCTAGGTGTAAGGGCATCAGCATCAGCTGATGTTGGACCTGAGCCTAACTTTGCGTCCTGAATGATTGCTGGTACCATTATGCCACTGCAGTGCCACTTCATTGGGGCAATCAAGGCAAGTACTGCTAACCCGGTGAAATCTAAAAAGCGATATGAAATTAAAAAACAAAGTTAAAGCAGTCACTCTTGTTATATATAAAACAGTATTTATCCACTATAAGTTACTGCTTGTTTGCAACATCCTTTAAATTACAGCCTTCTTGTGGCCGCAGTTTGTAATTATCTCAGGTTGCCTTTTTGTAAAGAGTCCAAACATGGCAGTTTTGATGCTCTATAATGGAAGGAACTGCTTAATAATTCATATTATTAATAGAAAAATAAGCGCAAGACCCACACGCAGTAACATGCCGTTTTACACATAAAGGTACAGCTTCTCTTGTAAATTGATTCAACTGGTTCAGAATTGTACTGTATAAACAACCAGTTAATAAAGCATTGCACAGCTTATACTGGCAGGTTCTTATTGTTCCTATTAGCCCCATTTAGAAGCAACACTGGATAATAATGAGTTCAAAAACAAATTAGCAGTTAAAGGCATAGTCAGAAAACCAAACCTTCCATTAAGCCTTAACTGAAAATGAGAGTGTGTGCTAATCAGAATTTTGCAGGCAGGTTGCCCCCGAATTTGGAAGCCCTTATAACATGTGTAATATGGCCTCCTCAGTTTGGTGTCACCACAGGCTTAAATTGGGATCTTAATAGGGAGCCTTTAGGTGGGAATACTAGCACTGCCAGCAGTAATAAGGCTACTATATCTGCTGCACACAGCCACACAGCCTCACAGCTTGGCATAATAATATCGACTTGTTATGAGAGAAGAGACCCGGCCTTCTCCCCAAAGCACAGAAAGAATGTGAGAGGGAGTGAGGCATACTTTGATTATAATTAAAGTTTTGTCTCATTAGGAAATGAGAAGTTGGACAAACTAGTATCAGTACCAAAGTCGAAAAAAAGAGCTTAAACACTTGGACACCGTCTATGTGGAGTGGGCACAAGGCTGGAGGGCCGGTAGGTTGAAGCAAGCGAGGAAAATGAATACTTCTTTCAAAGGTTTATCAGTGATGTGCCTGGAATTGCAGGGCACAGTGGAGTCAGTGCAGAATGTCTGGTCTTTATCTTCAACTTCCCAAGGTATTCAGCTGTGAAGAATGCAACTCCTCACGCATTCACACCACAAGCCGACGGTGTATTAAAATGCGCGAAAACTTGCCAAAAATGTGTTCGCTTAACCTTTCCTGAATAAATAAACCGACAAACCTATTTTCACTTACTGGAGCAATGTCGAAACTCAAAGCGGACGTGCGACCCCCGAAACATGTCGACCGGAATAGGGAGCTTGATCTGGTCGCCCCAGCGGGGACTGTTGTTGTGATACAACACCAAGGAATGGTACTCATCCACACTTGGTTCACCTGAGCCAGCTGCCACATAACCCTGAAAGATATAAAGAATATTATATTATATTAACGTTTCCCAAACAACAACAAAACAGTCAGAAAAGAGAATGGCCTCAAGGGCGAGGCAGACCGAAAAGGACACTGTGAATTAATATGTCAGCTAGAAATGTGTTGTAAACCTTCCAGAGCCAACAAAAGGCAATAAAGTGAGGAAGACAAGGTTTACATTTGTGTTTATGTGTTTTGGATGGGGGTTGCGTGCCATGTAGTGGCAGCAGCAGTGACAGCAGGGTTATATTTGACTCTATTTTCTGTCCAAGGCCTAGGCTGTGCAGGAAACCACAGAGGCAGACTGTCACAGTGCTGCACCAGAAATGGGCAACACAC